ACTAGTCTCCCCCAGGGTCTGGAGGGAACGGAGGGCAGGGGTGAAATGCTGCAGGTCGCACGATGGGGTGGACCTGCCAGGCAGGGGAATGGGCAGGAGGGCGGCTCTGCACAAGCGAAGGCTCACAGAGCCCCACGGCTGGGGCTGGGGAAACGAGTTGCCGCGTATTTAGATGTGGGTCTCCAGACAAGTGACAGAAATAGACCGGGTGTTTATTTGCATGTAGCTCCACGTGTGATTTGATTCACATACGCTTGCTTAATGCTCAGAATCCTCATTTCCCCTCCACTGCCATCCTGGTTTCTCCCCTGGGGAGTCATGTCCCATGGCAGACCCAGCCTGGGGCCTGAGAGCGGAGCTCAGTCAAGATGTTAGACTCTGGGCAGAAGAGGCCAGCGGCTCCTGTGAGCTTTGCTGGGCTCTGGCAGCTCTAGGTTTGAATCATGTCCTCAGGACAGAGCAGCTGAGGCTGGGCTGCTGGAGTCGGGCAGAGGGGAGGGAGGCCACACGCCAAGGCCAGGCCCAGGACTCCCCCTGCCAGGTTCTACCCACCCCTGAGAGAGGTGGCCGATGACCCAAGCACCGGGAGTTGACTGTGCCCTGGGGGAAGTGGGGAGGAGAGGACTGGCCTCCTTTCGGGGGAGAACCGCTACCGGAAAGGGGAGGGACTTTGAGAAAGCTCCCAATTGGCCACTGTCAAGGGGGAAACCACCATCCTCAAGGAGAGGCTTTGAGAGGAGGCGGGAGTCAGAAGCCCAGGTGGAGAGGGTTAGAGAAACCTAATGTATCCCAAACGAGGAGGGCCCAGGTAATGGGGTAAGGCCTCTAGAAGGAAGAGGGCTGCAAATCCCGGGGGAAGGTGAACTCTGAGAAGAGAGGGGCTGTGCCCTGGGCCCTAGAGAAGAGGCTGGCACTCCTGCAGGACTCAGCTAAGGTCAGTGCCCTACTCCATGGACAGCGGACTCTGCTCCAAGACCTGCAAGAGATGAGGTAAGGGCACAGGGAGATGAGGATCCTGGGGGAGAGGAAGGAGAAGTCTCCATCCACCAACTTGGCTTCTCTGCCTGAAGACCGTCCCCCCCATTAATCCTTTATTCCTTTCATCATTTCCCGAGCACCCAGCACAAAGTCTGCAGCATAGCGAGGGGCTAGGGGCCGAGTTAGGTTTGTTGAACTGACCTGAAATTAACTGAATCAAGTTAAAATTTTGAAACTCCTAGTTTAAGCACAACTCCCTGAGACATTCTCACCCCAGGAGGGTTAGTAAATTTGAGCCTTCCTTCAGTGATAGCTTCTGGAAGGAGGGAACTTTTTTTTTTGGCCACTCCACGTGGCACGCGGGATCGAACCCGCGCCCCTTGCACTGGCAGCACGGAGTCTTAACCACTGGACTGCCAGGGAAGTCCCAGCAGGGAACATTTTGATGGGGTTCTTGGAGGGAGCACAACCAAAATCAGGCCCAGCTGGGGGGTGGGCAGTCCATGACTTCATTTTACCCTCCTCCGGCCTCCCAGCAGCCCTCTCTAGGCCAGGCCTCTGGAGTTACCCATAGAGCCCTGGGGGCAGGGGGTCACCTTGATGCCATGGGAGGAGGATGGCTTCAGGTTGTATGCTGTGGCTGCACCCCAACCCCAGCCCTCCTCCCTACATCTAGATGCCTGGGGGAGGGAAGATGGGATGAGGAAGAGGATCTAAATCCCTGGGGGCCAGAGACTGAAGGCAGAGCCCAGGGAGCCTGGGGTGGAGACAGACAGCTTTAGGGAGATGCTTCTCTGAGCTAAAGCTGTCTTGAGGAGAAGCTCTGGGGTTAAAAAGACCAGTCCCCAAAAGGAGCCATATGGATGGCGTCTGTTTCTCACCCAGGTGCTGCCTTTGGGGATTATGAGAAATGGTTAGGCAGTTTGGGCGCAATCAGAGGGGATAATGAGCTCTTTCCCTTGGTTTTCACCCTGCACCAGGGATGCAGCTGCTCACATGGCCTCAAGAGCCCAGGTCTTCTATCTGCCTGTGGGCACCAAGCATCATTTCTTAGAGCTGGCCCAGATCCTGAGCCTTCTGCAGAAGGACCTGCGGGGTCCAGTGGTGAGGGGCAAGGAAGCGGGGGCCGTGGGGCTCAGCCCCCTTCTTCCAGCACTTCTGCAGCCCCAGGCCCCTCCTGCCTTTGCCCTCCCCTCCTGGGACTCCTGTCAGGCACACCTGTGTCTGTCTGTGTGTGCATGCACACAGGCATGCAGGCCCACAGATATCATCTTCTCTCTGCCTTCTCTGCTCTCTGGAGAGTCCCACAGACTCTCAGTACCAGCAGGGCCCTGGAGACCACTTGGCCCAGCTTCCACAATGACCAGAAGATAAACGGGAATGGGCTGTGCCCAAGATCATTCAAAGCTTCGCAGTGAAGTCCACTCTTCCTTGTGCCCCTCCCCATCTTGCTCTTTTCCTTGCCCTCTCCATCACTCTGTCTTTTGCTCTCTACTTCTCTCTCTTGTTTATCTCTAGAGACTTCGGCCCCCTGGAGATCCCAGGCCCCAGGCCCTCCCAGCTGTTCCCACAGATGGAGCCATGGGATCTGGGGTGGGGAGGCAGCTTTGTACTCTGCCCTCTCTCCAAGTACCCTGGATGAGAGTCAAGGTACCCCAACACTGGGAGAGGGAAACAAAGCCAACAGTGGCCCAGATTCTAGGTCCCCTCCCTCCTCCCTCCTCCTTTCAGAAAGCGGCAGCCAAGGACTCCTGCCCACCTGGTCGGCCCCCAGGGGTTTCCTCGTGTCTGCAGCCTGGAATCTTCCTGTTCTTCCTCCTCATCCAGACTGCAGGCTTCTTCTGCTATGTACACTTCAGGTGGGCCTTCCCATGGCAGGACTTCCCACACCTACCTAGCATCTCTTGGGTCTGGGCCATAGCCACTTCAATTTGAGAGAGGGGGTACTGAGGCCCAGCGGGGGACCTGCATGGTCCCCCAGCTGGCAAGAAGCAGCGCCCAAGTTAGGACCCATTTTTTTCAATAGAGACTACTGACTGACTGCTCATCTCCTGGTCCCATCTAGGTCCTACCCTCACAGAACTCACTCTCTAATGTGAGAAACTGACAAGTAACTGACAGTCATGTCCTTTGTGGTCAATGCCATGATGGCAGGAAGCTCAGGGGCTATCAGAGTGCAGGAAAAAGTACTTGAGCCAGCTTGGGGAGATCAGGGAATCACCTGGAAGGGACATTTGATATGGGTCCTCAAGGCCACTAGGAGATTTCCAGCCTGACAAGATAAGTAAAGGCATTGATATAGAGGAAAAAGCATGAGAAAAGGCATGGAAGCATGAAAAAATATATCTTCTGGAGAAAAAGTGGCAAGTTCAATACTGTAGAGCAAAGGGTGGGACCAGTTTGTGAAACTGGGCAAAGAGAATTTAAAAGGTTGGGGGGAGGTCACCGTTTCTGCTTAATGAGTGTTCGTAAATGAATGAAACGCTTAGAGATGTAAGGTGTGCTAAGGAGCTTAGAAACGGGACAGTCCTTGGTGGTGGTATTTCAAGACGAGAAGAATCAGTGCGCGCTCGGGTGGTCCTGGAGGAGGAGTGAAGTGTGCTGTTTTAAAAGCACAGTGGGAGAGGGGATGGCCGGCAGATGTGGAGAACAGCAAAGGTATGAGGTGGAAATGATGACAGGCTTATGTGTTATATATGAGTGCAATGGTGGCCATAAGGCTGGAACGACCTGGACAGACCTTGAATGCCAGGAGGAAAGTGTGGTACTGATGGAGCAGGCCAAGAGAGCCATAGAAGGCCCCAGAGCAGGGGGTGCTATGGTGCAGTGAGTGCAGGGAGGTGGGTGTAGTAAATATAAGGAGACTGGTCTCAAGAGCCCAGAAGGGAGAAGCCCAAGTAAACTTCTTCTCTCCCTGGCAGCAAGCAGGGGCTGGACAAGAACCTTCAGGACTATTTGTCCACAGGCAGCCTTCCTTTGAGTCCTGCACCACAAGTCCCTAGGACCCTGGGGGCTCTGAGGAGGCAGCCCCTCTCCCCCAGCATACATGGGTGACCTACCTCAATGCCCTGAAGAAATGTCCACTTCTCATTATTAGGAAGTCACTCTATGTCTGGGAGGTGGAGAGCTTGGCCAGTGTCCTCTGCCTCTGGGTACCCAGCTCTTACCCACACCTTAGCTTTTGGGGAGCTCCAACCTTATTAAAGGTGATTTCCCTCTCCTCAAGCTTTGATATGGTCATTTACCTTCCAGCTTCACCTTAATCTCTCTGAAGGCAACCTCTTCTAGATGGTAGCTGAGCGTGGGCTCCAAGCAGGCAAGGAGGCCAAGGACTGGCTTGACTGACAAAAGACCAGTTACCCCACAGGCCTTGAACCCTGGGCTATGGTGGGAGATGGAGTCACAGCTGTGTATAATTCTGTCCCCAAATTCAGCCAGAACAAGGAGTGGTGCCTCCTGGTCCAGCCCAGGCAGCATCACCACGAACAACTCTCTCTCGATGCTCCCTGTAGCTCCAGGGGTCAGCAGGGCAGGCGTGTGACCCAGAACTCTGAGAGGCAACCCATGGAGCCATAATTGGTATTCCCTGCTCTCTGATCTCCCTGCCTTTCCCAGTGTCAAGCTCTCTGGGCAGCTGCTGGGGCAGTGGGTTGGAAAGAAGGTTGGGGAGGGACCACGGCTACTCGCATTCCCAGCTGAAATCCTGGCTACCCGGGGAGGAGGAAGTGGGCGGGAGAATAGGGAGCTGTGTGCTGGGCGTATAACAGCACAGCTCGTTCCCCTGGGGAGCGACCCCCTCCCCGAACCCCTCGCGGCCGGCCCCAATCCGTTGGCAGCAGTGCCCAGAGGAGCTTGGCATTGAAGGAGGCACGTGGGGGAGGCGGGTGTGAGGAGCGAGCACGTGGTCCCGCCTCCTCAGCCCCGTGCATGCCCCCCGCCTCCTGTGAGGAGGGGTTTGGGGAGGTGGAGGCGGGCCCGGACAGGGGCGGGCGGTGGGCGGTGCAGAGCGTGGGGCTCCTGCCGCAGGCAGGAGCTGTCCGTAAGCCCTAGTGCTGAAGTAGGCGCGGACGTGCTTGGGTGCCCGCCGCGTGGTACCCGGCGCCCGGTGCCCGGGCCAGAGAAGACCATGGCGTTCATGGTGAAGACCATGGTGGGCGGCCAGCTGAAGAACCTTACTGGGAGCCTGGGGGGCGGCGAGGACAAGGGGGACGGGGACAAGTCGGCCGCCGAAGCGCAGGGCATGAGCCGAGAGGAGTATGAGGAGTACCAGAAGCAACTGGTGGAAGAGAAGTGAGTGGGATCCCTTCCTGGCTCCAGCAGCCCTCCCCACCCCCCAAGGGCCGCGCGGCCCACCCTTAGGGCAATCTCAGACCCCGAGCCCCTCCCCTACTTTTCTAGACGAGGTGAGAGGCTGGGATGCGCCCTCTAGGCTGCCCCCAGAGCCATCCCATCTCAAACCCAGAACCCCGCTCCACACTCGGGCCCAGAAGGAGTGGGGGACGGGGAGATAGGGGCTTGGGACAAGGTGAGGGCACGTGCATTACTTGTTTCTGACGAAACAAGTAATCCCTTAATCCGATCTGGTCCCAGCCGTCTGTGTCTTCCAGCTGGAGCTCCTCTGAGCCTGAGGCTCTGAGAAAAGCGGTGCAGCTGAGGCGCAATCAGTCATGGAGACAGATCCTGAGATGGGGGCACTCATAGATAATTGAGGCTACTTGTGTGAGGACGACGCTGGGACAGAGAGGGAGCTGGGGTGGCGTTAGGGGCTGAACTCCACAGCTAAGCTGTTTGGGTCAGATCCTGGCTTCGTTTCTTTTTATCTGGGTGACCCTAGGCAAGTTACTTAACCTTTCTGTGCCTCGGTTTCTTCTTCTGTAAAATGGCAATGGTAATAAAACATGCCTTATGTATTTATGAGGGTTAAATTACTTAATGCACATAAACTGCTTAGCGGAGCGCCTGGAACATGGCAAATCATTAAATGTTAGCTATTATTTCACTTAATCGTGATAACAGTTTTGTGAGTTGCAAAGTCTTATCCCCATTTTACAAAAGAGGAAGGTAAGTGACTTACTCAAAGACATAAAGTGGTAGTGGATTCAGGACGCGAACCCATGTCTGTCCTGAATACTTCGCCCCACACGACACAACCTGTCAGGAAAGGAAAAGACCGAGTCGGAGACCGCGAGGGACATATGTTAGGGTCCGCAGAGACAGACAGACAGACACCCCCGCACCGATAGCTCCCGTCCAGCGACGGGTACGGAAGCGATAAAGGGCTCTGTGATAGCTGGGAGAGGCAGTAAAGACTAATCCCGGCTGGTCAGAGCACCGAGCACCCAAAATACAGGCCCTCGGGCAGGAGGGATGCAAACTGCCGCCAGGACCCAGAGACCCTTCCCGCCCCTTCCTCGCAGACCCCGCCCATTTTCACAGCCCGGGCAGTGATTCCGCCCCCGGTGCCCCCACAGGATGGAGCGGGACGCGCAGTTCACTCAGAGGAAGGCAGAGCGGGCCACGCTGCGGAGCCACTTCCGAGACAAATACCGGCTGCCCAAGGTAAGCTTAGGAGCCCGGGCTGTAAGGCACCACCGGGACCCCTGAGCTCTGGGCCCCGAACTCCTTTGCCCTGCTCCCGGCGCCGCAGCTCTCAGGGAGTGTTTGATTAAATCATGGGTTCTCTCACTCGTTCATTCATTCACTGTTAACTGGAGCCCGCCAAGCCAGGGCTTGGCGCTGAGGGGTAGTCCAGTCCTCGGGGGACTGATAGGTTTGTGTTTCTGGAGCCATTCCAGGCCCTTCTCTCCTCCAACCCCCACTCACCCAACCCAGAGTCAGGCCTAGGCAGATGGAGGGTTGGAAGGCAGTAGATTTTACCACAGGTGAAATCTCTTGGGGCTTCTGAACACCCAGGGAGGGAGGTGGGTGGAAAGAAGGCAGCACCTTCTGTGGGCCAGGCACTTGACCTTCACACCCTTACCTAACCCCTCAGTGACTCTGCCAGGTAGCTACTACCCACACCTACAAATAAGGAAACTGAGGCTCAGAGAAATTAAGGGACTTGGCTAAGGCCATACAGCCAGCGAGTGATGGAACCGGGATCAGAGATCAAGCCTCTGCATGCTGAGCCTGCACTTGCTCCCGGACCCCTTGCTGCCTTCCAGAGTATGAAGTCTGTCTGCAGAGAGCAAAGGAACCCCTTTGGTTGGCCAAGCAGCCAGGAGGATGTCTCCCCTAGGTACTGCAGCATCAGAGGACCATGTAAGTGTTCTACTCCTGTTGCCTAAGGAGGGAACTGAGGCACAAGCCACTCCCCGTGCCCAGAATTGTGCTAGACTCTGAAGAGATACAGAAGCACAGGCTGCGGTACACCTGACCTTGATCTTCCACTTGAATTGGAAGATCAGATATGTGAATGTCACATTCACTCACTCAACAAATGTTCACTGAGCCCGTGGCTGCCTCTGACTCCCCAGAGCACACTAGTCTTTTGAAAATCTCTCAAAGGGAGAGTTAAACTCAGCTAGGAATGGAGTCATTCCTCCAGTGCTCGCACTAAGCGTATAAGAGACACAACTCTGCCATCGGGGAATGCTGAGTCCAGGAGGAGAGAGCAGACTTGGCTGTAACTCAGTAGGACATAAAGTGGAAAGCCCCAGGGCCCCCAAAGGGACAGGGAAGTGCAATGACAATCAGTAGGCAGGTGCTGTGTAAGGAGAGCACAGATGTTGGAATCAGGGACATAGGTTTAAATCTAGCTCCCTCACTTCCTAGTGGTGTGACCTTGGGCAAGTTACTTAAGTTATCTGAGCCTCAATTTCCTTTTTTGTAAAATGGGAAAAACAATACCTACCTCACAGGGTTGTTGTGAGAATTAAAAGCACTCAGCTCAGTGTCAGCCACAGGATAGGTGTTTGGTGAATGGAACCCCTCACTGTGATTGGTAACATCCTTCAGTGTAGTTAATGATAGTCAACACACGACTTAGCTGACTCAGTCTGCCTCTGAAGGATTTTCATGTTGTCATTACTCACTATGCTAGTGTCCTTACCTTCAGCATCTCAGAGTGAAGTGAGGTGGTGTAAAAGTGCAAGGTCTCCATATCCAAGCGTCAAAAGCTTGATGCTGGGATGGGGGAGGGGGACTGAGCTCACTGGAACATGGAGCTCCAGAATCTTGGGGCCTGGAACCCAGCCCAGGCCTCCTCCCTGCCGCTCAACTCTGGGTTCTCACAGAGCTCCAACCCCACCCCACCCCTTTTCCTCTTCCCTTCAGAATGAGACAGATGAGAGCCAGATCCAGATGGCAGGTGGAGACGTGGAGCTGCCCCGGGAGCTGGCCAAGATGATTGAGGAGGACACAGAGGAGGAGGAGGAAAGGGCCTCGGTCCTTGGGCAGCTGCCCAGTCTCCCTGGCTTGGACCTTGGCTCACTTAAGGACAAGGCCCAGACCACACTGGGGGGCCTCAAGCAATCAGCTGAGAAGTGCCGCATCATGTGACTACTTCCTCTGGGGTTGCCCACGGGGGTGACCAGAGGGCTGGCCCCACGTAAGTGCTAACAGCATGCCTCAAATTCCAGGGACCCATAGCCCATCTTGGCTTTGTTTCCCTGCCCCAGGCCAGCCCCAGGACCCTTCTCATCCATGGCTCCAATCTGCCTTCTGCTTTCTCCCTCTCCCATGAGACCCAAGTCTCCATTCCTCACCCTACCCCTCAGGACCCACCCTCCCTACTCAGCCTGGGAAGGCCTCCCAAGATTGTAAGAATAGGCCCGACCCTCTCTGGCCATGGCCCCAAGTTCCTGAACATAGAAGTACACATAGAGGGACACACAGAGGGACACAGAGACCCTGCATGTGCAGAGGGATATGCCGCAGATGCATCCTGGCCCACGCAAACACAAACACAGGCCAGCTCCCCTGGGTGCCTAGCTCCTCTAGACACCGACATTCAGATGCGCTTAGAGAGGGGCTTGAGGCAGACACCCTCAGCAGTCAGGAGGCCTGAGTTCAAGTCTCCACATTTATTCTCCTTAAAACCCAGTGTCCTTTCTGGGCCTTATTTCATCATCTGTAACATGGGAACGGACTGGGTGATTTCTAAGACTTTCTAGCTTGGCCTCCCCGGCCCCTAAGAGTCAACCCCACAGCCCTCGTTGGGTAGGGCAGCAGCTGCAGCCACAGCCTTAAGCGGCTGCCACCGTGGGCTCTGGCTCTCGGAAGCTGAGTGATGCTGTGAGGGGCCTAGTGCCAAGGATGAAGCTGGCACTGAACAGCAGCCCAGGTGGCTCCGGGCCTTCTCTGGGCCCAGGGCCCAGCCAATTTCTGTTCTGTTCCTGTAGAACTCTCTCTGGATTCCATAGCTGGATTTCCTCTCTCAGCTCAGTGAAAAATAAAAATTCCAGATGACCTGCCTATTCTCCCACTTCTTACTGACCTCCAGGAGTCTTGGGTTTCACAGGCCCCTAACCCTGCCCTTGGAGGGGTGTCCTCTCCCTCCCACCCACAGCTTCACAGGAGTGCCAGCTCCTATAGGATATTCAAGCTCTGCCCTCTCAGGGCCCTGGGCTGGGGCGGGGTCCCCGCACTGACTGAGCACCAGGTTCAGCCTGTGGCCCGATGAAATAACTCTGGGCTTTGAGGAGGCTGTGGCAGCCATCTGGATGGGCGGCACCTCAGGAAGGCTGGGTCACTACCTGAGACTGTAGGAGGGGCTGAGGCTCAACCACAGCTGTCTCTGGCACCTGTGCCTATATCCCCCTCCACACCTTGGAAATGGAAGGTGTAACAAAAAGAAGGCAGGACAACTGTGTTCCAGCCCAGGCACTGCTGTGTGACTTTGAGCAGGTCCCTTTCCTTCTCTGAACCTGTTTTCCCCCCTGTGAAATTAAGAGCCCCACCCCACCCAATAATAATACCTTTCAAAAGGTGACCATTTGTAAAGCCCTTGGCACATGATGGACCATATCAATAAATGGTAACCCATTCTTTAAAAAAAAGTGAAGAGTCCAAATCTCATCCTCTCATCCTGCTCACTGGTGTGTGTGTGGGGGGGGGGGGTATCCAGGAGACCAACCAGGAGGGTCCACAAGCAGGCCACCCCAGGGGCTTGAGAGGAACAAGGTGCTACAGGCTGACCCTGGTGCCCCCACTTGACACCAGCCTGTGGAGAAGCCAGCCAAGATTTACAGGTGGAAGAGCTGAGGGTTTGGTTTCAAGGGCAAAGCTTCTGTTAGGCCTCCTTTGTAAAATAAGAACAAGGAACATAAAACCTGTGCAATAGGTAATGTGGGGAGGGACAGGTGGAGGAGAGAGGACGAAGAGTTAGGAGGGTGGAGGCAGGGAAGGACGCAGGCCCAGGAGCTGGGCACTGCTGCTCAGGCTGTCACGCTGGGCCTTCTCTCTTGAGCATCCCAGGGGAAGGGGTCTGGGCCTCTGAGCTGCTCCTAGGCTGCCCCCCAGGGTAGTCACTGGACAAAAACCCCTCCTGATCTTCCTGGAGCTGGAGGAGACCAAGTCCCGGCCCCAGGCTGTGTGTGGGGGGCGGGCATGGGCCTCCTTGGCAGCGTCAGCAGCAAGGCTCACGTCAGCACTCCACCCTCCGGGGCCTTCTGCCTAATGGGATTGGACAGACCCCTTTCCCCTCAGTGGTTTTCAGGACCAAGAGCAAAAGAGGCAGGAATGTGGGCCATGGGGAGGCTGGGGGGTGAGCACTCACTGAACCCTCACACAGTGGGCTGGCTGGGGCCTGGGGTTAGGGAGCAGCAGGTTCCTTCCTCACAGCCTGAGAACCCTGAGCAGCTCTGACCTGTCTGCACGTCCCTGGAATCGGGGTGGGGGGTGGGTAGTGGAGGCTCTGGGGCAGGAGCTGGCTCTGGGGCTCAGGCAGAGATGGGCATGGAGGGCAGTCTGAGGGGTCCCCAGGCTCTGCTGGCCTTCCCCGCCTCCCGCTTCCTTCCCCTGCTCTTCTCCCAGGGTTGGTCCTTTGGGAGAAGGGCCCAACGCTGGCTGGGCTTGGGGGACTTAGTGGAGGTAGGACAGGGCAGAGTAAGCGCCCAGATGCTGGAGGGGGCGGTGGGCAGCAGGGGGTGGAGGAGGCCTGCCCTGCCTTGGGCACTTTTTTTTTTTTTTTTACAGACCTAGTTCTAACTGGTAGTCAAGAACCATAAATACATCACAAACATTACTTGGGCACTTTCAAGGTTTTAAAGGTGAGAGACAGAAACAACTCTCACTCCTAGGAGAAAAACCATATTATTAAAACAGCAGATTAGCATATTTCCCATAGGCCTCTGTCATTCAAAGAAAGCCCTAGGGAGCCCCACCTCCTCTGGCTGGGCTGTCTCCCTCCTTGGCAGGTGGCTTAGACACATCTAAATGTCTTGCCCAGGAAGGGCCCTTCCCCAGGGCCTCCTCCACCTGCCTCAGCCTCCCAGGCCTTTCCTGTACCCAGTGCCCCCATGGGGGCCCACTCCTCTCCACATCCACATGTATCATAATACCAGGCCCCTGTTCTCAGACAGCCAATGCAAACATCACAAACAAACAACTGGGGTCTGAGGGGCCAACCTTTCATCCCATCCTCCTTCTATTCAATTAGTCTTTCACAAACCCTGTCCTCCTCACTCCCACTCTCCCTCCCACCCATTCTTCTCCACTCACCCACCCAGCTGGGTCCATTCATTCTCCTCCTTCCTTCCCCTCATTTTACTCACTGAGGCTTTTTCGTCCAGCCCGTTCCCCATCTGAAAATAACATTTATTGAATTCTGTGTGCCAGGCTCATGTACGGTGACTCATTTAATCCTTAACATTCCCACGGGGCGTTTATCTTCATCCTCATTTTACTGAGAAACAGGCTAATCAGTGGGTCCCAAGCTTCAGGGCCAAATGGCAAGGCCAGAATTTTAGCTATGCCTCCTGCCCTCTGGGCCACTGCTCTACACTGCCTCCCAACAGCCAGGCTTCAGGGAAATTAGGTCCCTCCTAACGTTTCCTTCCCTGTACAGCAGCCCTTTAAGGTCTGCACGGAAGGCTGAGCAGCCTTGGTGGCTGTCCAGGGGGTGAGCTCCCCTTCCCCTAAGTCCCCAAAGATGCTCCTGAGTGCCACCATTCAGGCCAAGACCCCATCAGTGGCTGGGGTGAGGGCTGCTGGAAACCACCCCAACTTGGGGGGTCTGGGGAGCTGAGCATGAACACAGGACACCCTAGAGGATGCCCTTTCCCCGATCTAGCTCACTGCCCACTCACTGGCCCAGGGTAAGAGCGGGTAGCGACTGGGGTGAGGGAGTGTGCAGTGCAGAGCACAGAGGGTAACAGGACTGCACTCTTGCCATTGAGCCCTCCTCCACGTGCAGAGAGGAAGGGCCTTGCCTGGGCTCCCAGGCCTGTGCTGGTCTCCTGGGTGGTGGGAGGACTGGTGGCTGGTCCACCTGACTCTCCCAGATCTCCCAGGGGCTAAGGGCAGGAGGCAGATGTGGCTCTCACTCGCCCACCCTGGGGCCTCCCCAGCCCTCCCTCATGTTACCCAGCTTTTCCTGGGGCTCCTCTAGTCCCAGCCTGTGAATAGGGGCTACCTCCAGCTTTTCCCAGGTCAAGAAGAGAAGAACAAGTTTAGAAAATAATTTAATAGAAAAACAATGAATTACATTCTTTACACCCAGCTTCCTATAGGGAAGGCAGACAACTCCTGCCCCAAGGAGGCATTTCAGGGCAGAAGGGTTAGAAATCACTAACACCCTCTCTGACTTTTTAGAAAAGAAACCCCTAAATAACTCTAGGTGTATATATTCTTTCCAGATTAAAGTCACTTTGTTCTCCTGAAAGCCCATGTAGGCGGTTGAGGAGATAGTAGCAGTCCCATTGGAGAGATGGGGAGACCCAGGCCCAGAAAGGGGAAGGAGCTTGCCCGGGGTCACACACTGGAGTAGCAGCAGTGTCAGACCTAGAATCAAGTCTCCTGGATCACTGGGTCCCCTGGAGCCTGAAAGGCCAGGCAGCCCCCATGCCTCCCCATCCCAGGCCAGGACCAGCTCCGAGGCCAGTAGGGGCATTCCCCACAGAGGGATGAAGGTGGGAGGAATGACTGAGGACCCCTCCCCTTGTACCCCCCAGGCCAGGGCAAGAACAAGGCATGGGATTTCTCACATTTGCCTCACCTCTACAAAAGATATTATTTTCATGCATGAAGGATTATCTTAAAATATTGAGAGGGTGGGCAGGGATCAGCTCCCAGGAAGACTGGTGAGTTCTGTGGGGCTGAGTGCATATGGTGGGATGGGTGCTCCCTGAGGGGTCTTGGAGTGCCCTGCTCCACTGCAAGGTGGGAGGTAAGTTGCAATAAAGGCTCCCAGGAAGGAAAGGGGTGGGCACAGCTGCCTCCTGGCAAGGAGGGGAAAGAGAACAAGTGCCCTGCAGAGGGCTCCCTGATCGTCTCAGAGCAAAAACAGAAATCAACAGGCTCAGGGCTCAGCAACCACCAAATAACAGAAGTCACGTGAAAGAAACACTCTTCTCCCAGAGTCCTCCCCACCCCAGTGCTCCCAGTACACACAGCGGGTAGGGGGTTAAGAGTCTTTCAAGTGGTGCTGGGGATGCTGGGATGTGGGGTGTCCCAGAGTTGCCCATCCAGGAAGCCTGCTCCGCAGGGTGGCAGAGGGCCACAGAATTCTGAGGGTCAGCTGGGGTGAGCGTGTCCCCAATTCCCAGTGACCTGTCCAATCATCCTGCAGCGTCACTGCAGAGTACAAGCTGTGGAGGGGAAAGTGGGGAGCGTCAGTCTCAGGTCTCTGGCAAAAGAGGCAGAATCCAGGGCTGCCCCAGCTCTCACCCCTCCTTGCGGGGAGGGTCAGACCCCAGGGCAGGACTCACAGCTACGAACAGACTCCGACAGCCCCTCTTTGTCCAGGGTCTCAGCTTCCCAATGAGACTCCCTCATCTGCGGAACATAAAGGGCAGAGACAGTGATGGAGAGGCCTTCAGACAGAGACGAGAGGAAGACATACACAGCGGGGAGCAGGGGACAGACAGCCACAGGCAGAGAGGAACAGAACACATACAGCTTCATCCCAGTGTGGGCCCCCATGTGCCCACCTTGACCTGCTCCTTCAGGTATTCAGCTCGAGCCATGAGATTCTGAACCTGCCAAGGGAAGACATGCCCATGGACGTGGGGTGAGGAGAGGCCTCCAAATTGAGCTCCTCCTCACTCCCGATGCTCTCCAGAACCCTCTGCCTCATTAGAACAACTTGCCGCTGAGTCCTTATCTGCTCCTTCCTCCAGGAAGCCTCCCTATTGCTGCTGAGTTCCCAGATCCTGCCTGTCCCCTTGCCCTGACCTGAGCACCCAAGTCCTGACAGAGTGCGAGGGGCCACCAACTTAGCAAGTCTATGTGGTCTAACTCCCAGACTTGGAGCACCCTGAGGGA